CACTGAGAATTTTATTTTAATAGTGAAGAAGAACAGGAAGTTGTCTCAAAAGAGAGTAGATACCTGCAGTATTATATGTTAGAAGAGAATTAAGCTAATTCTCTGGGTTTCTAGGGAGCGTAAATCATAGTAGATTGTGGGAGTATTCCCCAAAGGTTTTTTTTTTTTTTTTACATCTTTATTAGAGTATAATTGCTTTACAATGGTGTGTTAGTTTCTGCTTTATAACAAAGTGAATCAGTTATACATATACATGTGTTCCCATTTGTGACCACCTGGAGGGGTGGGATAGGGAGGGTGGGAGGGAGGGAGACGCAAGAGGGAAGCATAGGTTTGTTTTTAATAAGTTAAAATTATTTCCTTTAAATAACTATCTTCATACTTGTTTTTATCACAGACTCCTTTCTAAGCAGCTCAACTTTGCAGTGGTTCAGGTCTTCTGAAGAGACAGCCTCTTACCTTAATGAGTGACGAAGGTAATCATCTACTCAAATTAAGTCCTTCTTGATGTAGACTTTTGTGTAAAATATTACTTGTTCAATATTAAATAAGGACAAATAGAAAAATGAATATATACTATGGTGTCACTAGGAGCCATACCTGAAAAACTGCAGTATATTAGACACTGTGTTTCTCAGTCTTTTCCTATCTCAAGACCTCTGAGATGCATGGCATCCTCCCTTCTATGCCTGGGGGCTCCCTATAGCAGTGATTCTGGGGAAGGTGTGGAGAGCAGGGGCTATGTGGTTTGTAAAAGCACATCACCATGCATACTCAAGTCAATTCTGAAACTGCTCCCTTTCTCCTGCATTGCCCCCTCCACCTTAAGAGTTATTGCTAACAAAAAAAATAAATTAAAAAAAATATAAAATAAAATAAAAAGAGTTATTGCTAGAATCAGAATCCTTCACATTTTTCTTAAAGGATTATTATTGTCAGCACCCTTTCTCATTTTTCTCATTGGGAAGCCAGAGCTTGCTCTTCAGTGAAGCAAAATGGTATCAGAAGTTGTTCCTTTGAGAGGGACCTAGAGGCTCCACTTTAAATTCTGACCCTGATTCCTACTGTCTTCATAATTAGGTTTTAAGCCCCTGGCAGGGAAAGATCAGGTCTTATCCACCTTTTTACTTTCTTCAGTGTTAGCCTTTAACTTTCTTTTTTTAATTTTTAATTCTTTTGAATTTTATTTTTTTACACAGCAGGTTCTTATTAGTTATCTATTTTATACATATTAGTGTATACATGTCAATCCCAATCTCCCAATTCAGCACACCTCCCCCTGCATCCCTGCCGCTTTCCCCCCTTGGTGTCCATACGTTTGTTCTCTACATCTGTGTCTCTATTTCTGCCTTGCAAACCGGTTCATCTGTACCATTTTTCTAGATTCCATATATGCGTTAATAGCCTTTAACTTTCAAAAAGGTAAAGGCTTTTACATAGTAAAAACATTTACGTAGTAAATGTTTACTGAAAATGAATACTATTTTCCTTAAGGGCAAATTTTATTCCTTCATGAAGGAAACTCTATTCCTTGCTATGAAAAAAACAGTAAATGTTGCATAAGTACAAATGAAAATGGAAGATACAGAGTGTGTAGCTTAAAGCTGAGCAGCAGCTTTGATCTTTGGCTGAGTATTTTAAAAAGATTATAAGGGTTATTAAAAATAGGATCTAAAGGTCTAACAAGACTTTAGAAAGGGCCCAAGAATGTGTCTAAATCTGCATAGGCTCCTGAAGGCTGCAAGCACATTGCAGTGTTTTGATCATCACTGACAGGGACCTCTGCTCCAATGAATGTGTTACAGGGGAATCTGTGTCTAGAGCCTCTGCCCTCTGAGTGTGGATCGCAGTTGTTCCTCAAGTATGAAAACTGGGGAATGACAGATTTAAAAGACATTTTCTTTTATGCAAATATACAGTATTATTAACATTCTCATGCCTGGGGCAGATTACTTCAGTTGTTTAGGCCTGTGTGCTCCTTTGTAAAAGAGAATAACAATAATCATCTCATAGACCAAGGTAAGAATCAGATCGGCACAATGTCTGAGGAGTAGTATGGATATGATGAATAAACAGTGGTTTTTATTTTATTCACAAATTGAAATTCAGAAGTATGTTACAAATGTTTAAGTATATTTGAAATAGACTTACTGGGGTCATATCATACCTCAGCTCCATTGTAGTTTAGATTGGCTTATGTGAACAGAGAGCAGGGCATTGCTACCATGTCTAACAATGCTTTAAGGGAAGACAGTTTCTCAAAACCACATAACTGGCATGCTTCTAGAGTTGTGGAACCATGATGCACTCATAGGTTGAGTGGTACCCAGCTCTTTTGCCTGTTGCTCATTTGATATTTATCTCCTTTCCTGAATATTGGCTATTAGATAACCTAGAAGAGATATCACAACTTTCACCATCAGGAAAAAACCATTTCTTTCATAGGTAATATCTACTTTTAAAACTTCTACTAATGGATGCTTCTCTTGGCCTTCATTTAAGGTCAAGTAGCTTGCAGGCCTCTGACTTTAAATTAATGAATGACTTTCTCTTTGCCATTTTTATTTATTTATTTATTTATTTGCGGTACGCGGATCTCTCACTGATGCGGCCCCTCCCGCTGCGGAGCACAGGCTCCGGATGCGCAGGCTCAGCGGCCATGGCTCACCGGCCCATCCGCTCCGCGGCATGTGGGATCTTCCCGGACTGGGGCATGAGCCTGCGTCCCCTGCATTGGCAGGCGGCCTCCCAACCACTGCACCACCAGGGAAGCCCCTCTTTGCCATTTTTAAGTTAGACTCCTTGGGCATGAGTCATTACTCAACTCACTTTGTAAGGACACTTTTCATTTTTTTAAAAAAAATTATTAATTTATTATTTTTGCCTGCATTGGGTCTTCGTTGCTGCGCGTGGGCTTTCTCTAGTTGTGGCGAGCGGGGGCTACTCTTCATTGTGGTGCACGGGCTTCTCAATGCAGTGGCTTCTCTTGTTGAGGAGCATGGGCTTTAGGCACATGGGCTTCCGTAGTTGTGGCATGTGGGCTCAGTAGTGGTGGCACGTGGGCTCTAGAGTGCAGGCTCAGTAGTTGTGGCGTACGGGCTTAGTTGCTCCGCGGCATGTGGGATCTTCCCAGACCAGGGCTCGAACCGGTATCCACTGCATTGGCAGGCAGATTCTTAACCACTGCGCCACCAGGGAAGTCCACTTTTCATTTTGTAATCAATTTTTTTTGCAAGTTTTACATGTGCAATAGATGAAGAACTATGATGATTAGAAAAATCATAGAAAAGAGTATATAGATCTTGGCAAAAACTTGCCCATCTGTAGGACAACACTTGTATACTTGTTAGAGTAGAACACAGAAGCTGCAGCATCACCAGTGCTACCACTATCAATAGAAAATATTCAGTAAACATAAACTTACCTGTGAAGTTGTGCTAGGTGTCATAATAAGAGAATCACATTGAGAACAGTGACCAGGAATTACTTATACAGAATTGACAGATGGACAGAATAAAAACAGTAAGCAAATATCTATGTATGGTCACTGTGGTTTTCATCACATATAAGTTACAACCTAAATTTTGGCATGCGGATAAGGTTGATTTTGTGACTGAAATAGCAATTAGAAATAAAGTTTAGGACTTTCATGTCTTGTCAAACTGATGCATATAATAGTAATGTGAACAGGAGCTCTTGAGTTTGTCAGGGGTTAAGGCATTTCAGTTTTGGCAGCCGCCAGTGCAGGACATCAGGACAGTGGCAGGGAGAGTGATGGCTGTTATTCTTTGGAGTGCCTTCTTCAAGGCTGACCTAGACTCTGGTTGGGCCTGGTGCTAGTGCCTGAGGCAAGATAATGGCTAGTGCTACTTTTCAGAACGTGCCATTGGCTCCCATGACTGTGGGAGGGGTCAGAGAGGGGAACACCAGTATTTTTATGCATGTAGCTCCAGGGCAATGTATGGCTTCAGGGACAAGAAAGAGGAATACCAGTGCTAGAGAGATAACCAAGATGAGACTTGGGGAAATGATTGAGCACCAAAAATTGCCTCAGAGATTAATAATAAACTTAATCTGAAACTTGTAAATTTTGTTTCCAAGTGCACATGTGAGCAACAAAGCCAGTAAACATTTAAATGGGATTTTCAAGCTGACAGTTTATCTACACTTTAGACTTTAGCTTAAATGGGAGTGCTGCAAGTCACTTCTTACTAATTTCTGCAATTGAAAGGGAGTCTTTATAGTAATTCTTTTTTTAAAAAATTAATTAATTAATTAATTTATTTTTGGCTGTGTTGGGTCTTCGTTTCTGTGCGAGGGCTTTCTCTAGTTGCAGCAAGTGGGGGTCTCTCTTCATTGCAGTGCGCGGGCCCCTCACTGTCGCGGCCTCTCTCGTTGCGGGGCACAGGCTCCAGACGCGCAGGCTCAGTAGTTGTGGCCCACGGGCCCAGTTGCTCCGCGGCATGTGGGATACCCCCAGACCAGGGCTTGAACCCGTGTCCCCTGCATCGGCAGGCAGACTCCCAACCACTGCGCCACCAGGGAAGCCCTATAGTAATTCTTAAAGCCACTGAAGATTTATTTGTATTAACATCTTAATTTTGCTAAATGCCAGTAAAGGCTATGCCTTATATTCACTTTTCTGTTAGGCAATTGCCTGAAAGAAAAATGTGTCATTGTAAAATTTAAGAAATATGTCATAACTAGTATTTCCAGAAGCCAAGAAACTATTTCTGTATCTATATATCTGTATCTATACCTACATCCATATCTGTATTGTCCAATGGTTATACTCTCAAACATACTGATATTATAGAAAATAGAAATTGATATGTTTAGATAGAGTTCATAAGATTAAAAATCATATAAAAATTAAACACACACCTATACTTAAAAAAAAAGACTGTAAGAAATGAAGGTAAAGGCAATAATACTTCTCTTACGTCGTAAGAGAAACATCGTTGATCAAGACCCATCTGTTCAGTCTTGGATTTTCTATTCTACTCTTGTGGCACATATAACAACACTAAAATATTACAAAGAAGATTAGTATAGCCCCTGTGCAAAGATGATTTACACATTTGTAAAGTTGCCATATTTTTGCATAGTTAATGATTTCTTTCTTTGGGTTCTCATGGCACATTGTATATACATTTGCTGTCATCTTACTGTATTATAATTATTTGTTTACTTCTCTGTCCCTTAAGAGAATTACTAAAAAATGAAATTATTCTTTGTATCCATAGTGGCTTGCACATTGCCTGGCTTCTAAAAAGCACCCAGAAAATGTTTAATGAATGAATAAATGCTTTATAGTCTATGAGTAAGAAACCTGCAGCAACTCTTTGTATATATCCTGCTAACCCAGAAATTGATTCTGAAACAGTTAATCCTTTTCTTACCTTCTCACCTTGTCTTATGGATGACAGAATTTCTATTTTAGTGTGATGCCCACATGGCCACCTCCTGTTGATAACTAGTGGGCACAACTCAGTTTGATGATGGACAGATGGACAAGCCTGCTGTTGTTCTTGGCCGTAAGACTGTTCCTGCATATTCTCTTATTTGCATCAAACATGCCTTCCTTCCCCTCTTTTTTTGCCAGACTGTACATATTTGCTTCTTACACTGTCTTGCAGTATTAAAGGCTATAAGCAGGCTTTGGAAGACAGATAAGCAGAATTATTTTGAGAGATGCATGGTATCTAACACAAAAGAAAAGGACTTGATGGAAAAAAGGCCATAAAATATTGCTATTATTCAACTGAAGAGGTGTTGGTTTTCTCTCTTTTCTACCATAGTGGGATTGAAATAAAGCTGCAATATATTTCTGGTAAAAGAGATCCAGATTATGGTATCAATTATAATTCATTCAAATTTTATGTATAATCACATACGTAAATAGTAGTTGTTTCAAATTAGCAATAATAAACTAGAATTGCATAGATAAGACATTGGCATGTTAATTATTTAAACAACATGCAACATTCAAAACATTTTAACACATATATTTTCTTTACTAGAAAAAAGGAAAGGAGGGGAAGGAAATGAATATTTATTTAGTTTCCATCATGGGTCAGGCATTTTTGTGCTTTTTCCTATATTTTTCATGTAATCCTCAGAACTACATTGTAAAATAAATTTTATTGTGATTATTTTATAAAAGAGAAAACTTGAGCTTAAAGGCAATAAGTAATTTGCTCATGGTCACAGATCTAGGAAGTAACAAAACTGATTCCAAATCGAGTCCTTCCAACTCTTGAATGTATTCTCTACCTACTATGTTTGATTAGCTGGCATACAGTCAGTTTTTAAGGAATTTAGGTTTTTATTATAAATAATAGTGTTTTAAAGGATTTTCCATTATTGTGAACGGTGTCTTGAATGCCAACTAATGTTTCTGCTACATGAGATGGGATTCTTTTTTTAAAATTAATTAATTAATTAATTATTTTGGCTGCATTGGGTCTTGGTTGCTGCACGCGGGCTTTCTCTAGTTGCAGCGAGTGGGGGCTACTCTTTGTTGTGGTGCGTGGGCTTCTCATTGCGGTGGCTTCTCTCGTGGAGCACAGTCTCTAGGTGTGCGGGCTTCAGTAGTTGTGGCACGCAGGTTCAGTAGTTTGGCTCGCGGGCTCTAGAGCTCAGGCTCGGTAGTTGTGGTGCATGGGCTTAGTTGCTCAGCGGCATGTGGGATCTTCCCGGACCAGGGCTCGAACCCATGTACCCTGCACTGGCAGGTGGATTCTTAACCAGTGCGCCACCAGGGAAGTCTGACATGGGATTCTTGTCCCCTTTTCCAGATGAGTAAGTGGGTTGATTGAAAAATGATTCAATAATGTGGTACAGGAAAAGTGATCTCTGAATTTTTTGAATGACTAGGCTGGAAGCAGAGTGCTCAGTGTTTCACAAACATTCTTAAGGAACTACTGCTCCATTGTTAGATGTCAGGATTTGCCTTGGCTGTCCTTTTTGCCTAACGGGTCTGTGCTGGGCTACAATGATGGGGTCTGACCTCAGCTCTTGGTTTCATTCCCATTTTTGACCTGATTCATGGAGCACCAGTGTCTTGACTGATAAAGGGGGTTGAGGGAAGGATCACTCCAGCCTTCTGGGGCTCTCTTAGCAAGCATCAATTTGTGGCTAGATTTTTTTTCTGAGGCCCCTTGAGATTGTTCCTGTGTATATCCAGACCGTAGGAGAGCCCTTGAACTGATTGCATTTTTTTTGTGGATCAGGGGCCATGCAGATCCTGAACTTCCTCTGGCTGTTTTAGCACTACTGCTACTCCCTCCCCCCACTTTGGCATGGTAGCAGAGGGCTTACTAAAGACAAGAGATTCTGTGTGTTTGCTACTTTCCTCATCCTACCCTCAGATGAGTTAGGCTCACCTTCTCCGTGTGAAAGGACAGGTTATAGGACCAACTGCTGGTGCCTTGTAACCAAGTAACATAGCTAAATGGGATTAACTCTATGAAGTAACAGACCTGCCAGCTGTCATCCTGGTTTCCTTTAGTAATGCAGACAGTGCCAGAGGCAATTTCTAACTGTGTTAATGATGATTACCTGCCCCCATCTCCAACAAACAGCCTTCAATTATAGTATGTCTAAAAATGAGAGTTAATCAAGACAGAATGATCAATTGGCTAGGTAAAATTTAACAAGTGAGTTTCATTCCAACTGAGTTACAAAGGTGATTGTAATGTTTGGAAACTGTCTTTTAGAGAGAGGCTCTGGAAAAATTATAATTCTGAAATGCTGGCATAATTTCCGTGGTGAGGAAATGGTCATTATGTTAAAATAGATGTTTATGTCTCTCTCCCTTATCTCTTTTTCATATTTCTTTAAATATATGTGTTTTCCTATAATGTAAATTTAATGATTAAACTATATTTAAACTAATGCTTTGCCATTAATGAGAGAAAGGTCACCTTTAAAAAGTTGATTCAGTAGTGTAAGTTATTTCAGGACTGGAGTTGAGCCCAGTTCCTGTTAATGAAGACTATTTTCCTTTTCTTTTTCTAGGACAGTGGAATTAAAATAATCAGTTCTGTCTCTTTCCAGTCATGATGCATTCTAGGCTTAGGTAAATAAACCCAACTGAAAAATAACAGACTAGCCAGCCCTGTCTGTCACCCGGCTTGAAGCTGTCATTTTTCGTTTCAACGTTATATTCATGAGCATTAATATGAAAAGCCTCTGTCAAACGTTTGCTTCGTGTGTTTTGATTGCTTTAGAATGGAAATTTAAATACTGAATTTCAGAAATGAATTAGGAGGGGAGTGGAGAGAGAGCCCTGCACAAAGTCAGGCAGCTGGTTCCGGTCTTGTTCTGCTACCATGTATGTGCCTGGATAAATCACTTTAAATTTCTCAGCATGCTTCCTTTGCTTTTAGAACCAAGATGGTTCGACTAGGTTGGAATGGCACATAGATGTCCGCTTGTCTGCCAGCTCTGATCAGTTGGTCATGCCTGCCTGGGAGGCTGCACTGGGGATGAGGGTGAGCCTTTTCCAGGTGACAGAAACACTGGGAACGAGAGAGCCACTTATTTGCCAATACCCAAACTCAGCTATCAATACTTCCTGGGTCATTTTCTGCTTCTATTATGACTTTCATGATTTTTTTTTTGGCAGAGCCACATGCCTTGTGGGGTCTTAGTTCCGTAACTAGGGATTGAACACGTGCGCTCTCAGAACTGAAAGCACGGAGTCCTAACCACTGGACCGCCAGGGAATTCCCATGACTTTCATGATTTATTTTTAATTTTTAACCACAAGAAATGTTCTCTCTATCCTTGAAGGTAATTTGAAAATTTAAGAGCAAGGAGACACAGTCTTTGAGATCATCTAGTCAAAACTAGGCTGATGTGTATAAAAATGCTTTGTAAAATGTCGAGCACTAGTTTAGATATTTGAGGACAACATGGCTAGCTAATGGTAAGCTTTCCCATTGTTTTTTTTTGGGACCCCCTTCCTCCCTAATTTTTGTGAAATGCTTGCTAGAGAAATGATGCAGGTTTTTAAAAGTAAATTTCTTAGAAGTTATTCCACTGACATTAAATTAAGAACATTAAGTGTTAAGTTGTATCATATAGGCCGTAAACAGTGTAGATATTCCAAGAACTAGAGAGCTAGAGTCATCAGGGGATATTGAAAGAAGAGGTAGAACTTGAACAAGGCCTAAAATGGACAGACGTTAGAAGGGCATTTTTAAGTATGGGACAGAATTTGGATAAGGCATGGAATAAGAGCAAAGCACAATTTGGGACAATAAACAGGAAGTATAAACTGTTAGGTTTCAATAAGGAAAAATTTGAATTGCTAATAATATTAATATTGATAGTTAACATTTATTCATTCCTCTTCCCACCAATATTTTTGAGTCTTTCCAATGTGTCAGACCCTGTTCTAGATACTGGGGGTATAGCTTTTAGTAAAATAGACAGAAATCATTGATTTTTAGAGCTTACATCCTAGTGGGAGAAGACAGATAATAAACAAAGCAATACGTGAAATATGTAATATGTTAGAGAGTAATAACTACAAAGGAGAAAAATAAACCAGGGGAGGAGACAATGGAATGGTGGGGGTGAACTGCAGTTTTGGATACAGTGGCCAGGGAAATACTCAATAGGTGGGTAATGAATACCACATTTTAGACACTCTGCTAAGTGAGTTATAGATACGAAATCATTTAATTTTCGTAGCAACTTTATGAGAGTAGGTGCTATTATTATTCTCATTTTATAGATGAGGACCTGAAACACAGACAACCAAAGTCATCAAGAGTGCACAGCAATTAACTGTAAGAGCTGGGATTTAAATCCAGGAAGTCTAGTTCCAGAGATTATAATTTTAGTCTGCAAATCTGGATAACAAAAGTCCTTGAAAAGGCTGTCAGAGGTCACAGTATTGATAGCATTTTAGAGCTAGAGGGAAATTTACTTATTTTCTAATCCAGTGGTTTTCAAAATGTATTAGAGCCACCTGCAGAGCTGGTTAAAACCTAGATTTCTGGATCCTGTCCCCAGTTTTTTGATCCAGTAGGTCTGGGGTGAGGTCTGGGAATTTGCACTCTAACAGGTTTCCAGGTGATGCTGGTGT